ATCACTTTGCTTCAAACCCAACTCTTGGAGAAACCGCTTCAGCCACAACAACTCCTTGCATGCTTCTGTAGCGGCTATGTATTCAGCCTCGGTTGTGGACAAAGCAATGCACTTTTGTAACTTGGATTGCCAAGACACGGCTCCTCCTGCAAAAGTAAACAAGTACCCAGACGTAGATTTTCTACCATCCAGGTCACCTCCCATGTCAGCATCTGTAAATCCTTCCAAGATTGGTTTGGAACCGCCAAAGCACAAGCACATCTTAGAAGTCCCTTTCAAATATCTGAGAATCCACTTAACAGCTTCCCAGTGGTCCTTCCCTGGATTAGAGAGAAACCTGCTCACCACACCTACTGCATGAGCAATATCTGGCCGTGTGCACACCATTGCATACATGATACTTCCTACTGCTGAAGAGTAGGGAACAACTGCCATTTTCTCCTTTTCTTTCATATGTTTTTGGACATGACTCTTTGCTCAACTTGATATGATTGGCTAAAGGTGAGCTTACCGGTTTGGCTGCTTTCATGTTGAACCTTTCAAGCACCCGTTCAACATACTTTTCTTGTGACAGCCACAACTTCTTGGATTTTCTGTCACGAATTATCTCCATGCCCAAAATCTGCTTGGCTGGCCCTAAGTCCTTCATGTCAAAGGACTTAGATAACTCTTCTTTGAGCTTTTTTAATCATAGAAGCATCTTGTCCGACAATCAACATGTCATTAACATAAAGCAATAAGATGATGAATGTACCTCCAGAAAATTGTTTGATATAGACACAAGAGTCAGCATGAGTTCTCTTGTACCCATTACTCACCATGAATGAGTTGAACTTCTTATTCCACTGTCTCGGAGCCTGCTTAAGACCATATAAACTTTTCTTGAGCTTGCACACCAAATTTTCTTTACCTTTGACTTCAAAGCCTTTGGGTTGCTCCATGTATATCTCCTCTTCTAAATTGCCGTGGAGAAATGCAGTTTTAACATCTAACTGCTCGAGCTCAAGATCCATGCTTGCTGCCATACCAAGGATAACTCGAATGGAAGTCATCTTCACCACCGGTGAGAAAATCTCATCGAAGTCAACTCTTTTTTTTTGACCAAAACCTTTGACAACCAAACGAGCCTTGTACCTTGTCATGTTGTCGTCTCTTTTCAATTTGAACACCCACTTGTTTTTCAATGCTTTCCTGCCCTTTGGAAGCTCCACCAGCTCATAGGTATCATTCTTTGATAAGGAATCCATCTCCGACTCCATTGCCTTCATCCATTTGTCACTGTCGTTATGAGCTCTGGCCTCCTCATATGTTTCAGGCTCTCCATAATTAGTCAACATGATATACTCTGATGAAGAATACTTGGTAGACGGTCTTCGATTTCTGATGGATCTTCTGACTTGATCTTCATTCTCTTGTAGGGCTGGAGGCTCCCCCTGATTGGGTTTTCCTTGAATCTGCTCTTCTTGACTAGGCTCCACCTGATCAGCAATCTCATGGTCTGGCACATCTTGATCAGGCTCCCCATGATCAGCATTATCTGGTTCTGCAGGCACTTCATTGGCAGCTGCTTCAGGGATGTCATCGTGACTTTCTTCATCTGAAGCTAATGGATCAACTCCTCTGTCTGCACCATCTGGTTGTGCTTCTTTATCCGAATCCCCAATTGTTTGATCTTCATAAAAGACCACGTCTCTACTTCGGATAAACTTCTTCTGGTATGGGTCCCATAATCTGTAACCAAAATCTTCACCGCCATAACCAAGAAAGATGCACGGTGTAGCTTTGTAGTCTAACTTCGATCTCTGCTCTTTGGGCACATGCACAAAAGCTTTGCAACCAAACACTTTCAGATGAGAGTAAGACACATCATTACCAGCCCATACTCTCTCTGGAACATCAAGACCTAATGGTACTGATGGAGATCGGTTGATCAAATAGCAGGCTGTCCTTACAGCTTCACCCCAGAACTGCTTAGATAACTTTGCAGTCCTCAGCATACACCTGACTTTCTCCATGATGGTTCGGTTCATTCTTTCAGCAACACCATTATGTTGTGGAGTTCCAGGAACTGTCTTCTCATGACGTATGCCATGTTTCACACAATACTCTCTAAACTGGTGAGATGTGTACTCGCCGCCGTTGTCGCTACGAAGGCACTTGAGAGGTTTCCCAGTTTCCCTCTCCACCATGGCATGGAACTCCTGGAATGTCTGAAACACCTGGTCTTTGGATTTCAACAAATACACCCACACCCTTCGTGAAGCATCATCAATATAAGTAACAAAATATTTATTTCTTCCAAGTGACTCGACTTCCATGGGACCACACACATCTGAATAAACAAGATCTAACAAGTTTCCTTTCTTTGTAGATGGAACAGAAAAACTAACTCTTCTTTGTTTTCCGAATAAACAATGTTCACAAGAGTTTAACGACGTACCTTTGGCAAAGGGAATATGAGACTTCTTTGCCAAAACTTGTAGGCCTTTCTCGCTCATGTGGCCTAGCCTCTTATGCCACAAGTCTAGAGATGAGTCCTCCACAGCATTCAACTCACCTTTCAAAAACCTTGGCATTTGACCGGTACAACGTACAACAAAGTCGTGCTTTTGCTACCACCATTAAGCCTTTAGTAAGCTTCAATTTTCCTTCGCCAATATGGTGATAATATCCTTGTCGATCAAGGGTACCGATGGATATCAGATTGAGACGTATATCAGGAATATGTCTCACATCTTTCAACATCAATTGGCAGCCGAGATTAGTTCTTAAGCAGATATCACCAATTCCAAGAATTTTGGAATAGCTTTCATTCCCCATCTTCACTATGCCAAAGTCACCTTCTTTGTATGTACTGAAGAACTCCCGTTTGGACGTAGCATGGAAGGAAGCTCCATTATCAAAAAATCCATTCAATGTCTCTGTCAGAGTTGCCCATATGCAGACATTCACCAACAGACAATATTTCTGGTACATCACCACAGATGACAGCGGTGGTATTGCCAGTATCATCTTTCTTCTGATTGTTTCCTTCCCTTTGCTCTCTCTTCCAAACTCGACAATTTTTCTTCATATGGCCTTCTTTGCCACAATGGTGGCATGCACCCCTGAACCTTGACTTGGATTGGCTAGGACTCCTGCCATGACCTCTAGGCCCTCTACTCTTGCTTCTTCCGCGGTTCTCTGTGACAAATACTTGGCTGCTATCTGTGCCAGAAGTCTTTCTCCTTGTTTCTTCATTGAGCATGCTATTTTTAACATTATCAAGGGTAAGAACACCATTAGAAGCAGAGTTACTTATACTCACCACAAAGGTCTCCCAACTGTCTGGCAAGGATCCAAGTAACAAGAGCGCTTGTAGCTCGTCCTCAATCGTCATTTTCATAGTAGCCAACTGGTTGATGATATTCTGGAAATTGTTCAAGTGTTCTGCTACACTTAAACCATCCTTGTACTTCACATTGATGAGCTCTTTGATCAAGAAGGCTTTCTTAGCTGGAGTCTTCTTCTCGAACAAGGACTCAAGCTTTGTCCAAAACTCGCGAGCATTGGTTTCATTAGACACATGGTGAAAAACACTATCGTCCACCCATTGTCTAATTGTGCCAATAGCCTTGCGATTCATCTTCTTCCACTCGGCATCGGACATGCTCTCTGGCTTAGCGGCATCTCCTTCAATTGGCTCATGCAAATCCTTGCAATAGAGAATGTCCTCCATCCTTGGCTTCCATGTTACCCAATTGGAGTTGGTGAGTTTGATCATAGTGCCACTTCCTTCCATCTCGCAGTACGAGCCAACCTGGCTCTGATACCACTTGTTAGGAATGTCGGTACTACAAGATAGAGAATGCACAAGGTAAAGTAGAAAATGGACACCAAGAATTTATGTGGTTCGGCAATTTATGCCTACGTCCACCAAACAAGGATCAATCTTCACTATATGAAAAAGATGAATACAACAAGAGTAGTCTTACCAAGCCAAAGACAAGGCTTGATGGATACAAGAAAGTATAACACACACTTTCTATCACTCTAAACTTCACTCACACAATGTGTAGTGGAACACTCTCACTCTCACTCTTGGAGTGGAACTCTAGCTTTGGACTTGATCCTTTGCTACTCACTCTTTCTCTTGATTTGTTGTTTCACTACAACATCACACCCATATTTATAGGTGAGGGTTTGGCATTCTACTAGTTTCTAGTGTATTCTTCAAACCTCTAGCATAGAAAAATCTAGACTAGCCACATACTTGTAGCGTCTAGATCTTTCCATTTGCAACCAAGGAAGCTAGTACTCTCTAGCTTCTTCCATCAACTTAATAACATGCTAGAATTGTCTAGCAAGCTCCAGCCTCATCTCTTGCTTACTAGAATAATCTAGAACATTGATCATGGGCTGGACCATATACCAACAGATTATACGATAACAGGCCACCAGAGTTAATTGCGGATTCCTTAATGTTAACACAGATGTTAGAGGCACATTAGTCTCTCAACAAGGAGAGGGACTTCACGAAACCCCAGGAGATCACAATAGTGTCATGGACCAATGATATAATAACATGTGAGAAAATTAAAACACATGACATTGTATCATTGATCTAGAACGCCATGGTGACGTTCTGAGGTTAGGCTAGTCCTTTCCCTCAAAGAATCAAGACTATGACGACTACCCTTTGCACATTTGGAAAACAGAGCAACTGCGATTTACAGTCATGAGGTCCGTGGTTTTTGTCTCTCATTGCTGTTTGGAAGAAGAGAAAATATGGTAATGACACAACTCCTGGAACAGGGTAGTCTTGGTGGCCCCGGGAATACACGCAACGAGTGTATAGGGCCCTGGTGGTATGCAAGTTTCTCCCCGAAAACAAGGGCACTCGATGTCATAGGTACTAAAGTACCTAGTCAATTAACACAATGAACCTAGCCTTCCCATAAAAATGTAATAAATCTACAAACTCACATAAGAGATTACACCTATCGCTGATTCCGAACATATGAGCAGTATCAAACAATCAAATCCATACCAATTAATCTCAGTGCAAGAAACCATTCATCGTTTGTAAATCTTTGGGGTCAAAACTCCAAAAAAAAATATCGTCTTTACAGATTGAAATACTTGATTGACTGTTTCATGATCCAAAATTATTTCGATGAAGCCATAGCATAACTTGAAACCACAAAAATCTTCTTAAAAGGTTAATGATCTGGAGTCAAGCTCAGCGAGTTTTGTTCTTTTTCTGGTCTTGGCCTTGGGCTTGAACTTGTACTGCTGCAGAAATCTTCTTCCAACAGCGGATGGAAATGAGCGTCGGTATTACAACCCAGGAGGCGTTTGCAGCAATGTAGTATGCGTAGTAGTAAAACGAATTTGTAGCAAATTTGTCACCTTCCAAGTAGGCTGTTATGAAATATACAGCAGTTCCATAGAGCTGACCCAACGAAATGGCAAACTGAAGTATGTAGCTATATGGCTTGCCTTTAGATATTGCATATCTGCCAAGAATCAGAAATCGTGTTCAGAATATCAAATTTTGCATTGCACAGCAATATAAACTTTGTGATAATCAAAACTCAAAATCTTACACTGCAAGAAGGCTAGCGGGACCTTCTATAACTGCGGTTAATCCTTCGACAGAAACGACCCCTGCATCCCTCGCTGCATATCTTGAATCACCTTTGCTATACTCTTTCCCTGCCAATTTTTATCTATCAGCATAAGAACTATATAATCCAACAAGCCCCAACAGTTATAAAACTGCGCAAATTGTATCCAATGCTAATCTTATAGATTAAGAAAGAATGTGAGACAGAACTTACAAACTTCAGCCAGGTAACAAGCAGTCTTATCCTTGTAAAACTCGGGCGAAAATGCAAAATAGCCTTCGAGTATCAAGTGCGTAAGGCCGGTGAAAGCCCACCAACACATTAGCCATCTTTCAAGTTTTGATTTCCTCGGTGACCTCCCTGGTACATAGCAAAAAGTAAAACATGTCGATTGAGGCATTCCTATGTCTCCCTCAAAATGTCAAATTTGTTGACTTGAACAAAAACTATAACATCTACAGCTACATAGCATTCAATTATCAATGCCAAGACGTAGAAAACATCAAATCAACAAGCACACAGCATGAATCCAAAACGAACCCAAGAACTAAAATGCCACACTAGAATTATTGGGTTTTCCTTATTGGAGATTTGTCGAGTTTTAACAACCAGTAATCACCACAGACGGGTGTACCAACATTGGCTAGAGCGGATGTAATCAGTAATAACAGTATAAGTAGGCATAGCCACATTGCCTAGAGCGGATGTGCTCCTCTATGCACCCGAGTTCCAATCCCCCTCTTTCTGCACTTTAGATTAAAAGTTTAAGGTAGAATATTTAATCGCCACATTCAAAAATCAAGCCAAAGAATTTGAGATCATACAAAAAAGTTGAAAAAAAATATGAACTTTTTGGACCTCAAAAGTCTCAACTTTCTGTGCTCTGTACACAAACCCAATTCACGCATCAAATTACTAGAGCAAATTACAATGTGCAGAGAAGTGAAATGAATTGAGCTGAACAAAATTTGGATCTGATAGGAAGTGGAGTGGAAGGAGGAGTACCGGAGAAGAGCCAGGTGAGGGAAACGACGAGTAGGGAGGAGACGCCGTAGACGCCAAGAATGGTGGACTGTGAGAGAAATCCGGGTACGAATCCGGGTAGCTTTAGATCCCTCGGGGCGTACGGATGATTCCCATAAATCCCAGAGTCTGATCCCTCCATTTTCACTCGCTGCCTGGTACACTCTGTCTCCCAAATGCAAGTCAAACCTCCAAAACAATGAGTGATAAGGCTGCCAACTGTCTTCCTTTTTGCCTTTTAAATTCTTTTAGATTGGATCTCACAATCTTTTTATGGCTGGGATAAAGGCCCAATATCCATGGATCTCACAAACCTCCCAAACCTTACAATTACCCAATGTTCTAAAAATTGGGGCTAACTACCGTTCCGATTAGTCCCTAAACGTCTAAAAATTAAGAAAGTGTTTTTAAAACTGCTTAGGCGCCCACCTAACCCGCCTAGGCAATGTTAGGTCGCGACTTTCATTCAGACAGAATGACACGCCCCAACCTCGATATCCCTAAATACCAGGATAGGCACATGTTGACCGACACCCGAGGATGACAAATCCATTTTAACATGCATGCAAGTGATAATGGTAACTGAAATTAAATAAAATACACAAATATAAAGAATTATGCAAAAGAGAGCATACAACTAATCAAGAATACTACGAAAGTATTATTATAAAAAAAGGTACGAACAAAGGAATGAGTCCTACATTGAGAAGACTTGAAGATACCTATGCGAGAGTGCCTTGACGCTGGGATCGTATGCCTCGATTCTAACTCTTGAAGGAGGTGCAAAACAAAAGATGAGTGAACCAAAGTTTATAATAATAATACTAAATTAATAATAAGAAAATCATTTTCTTTCTGAATATACTAACCCTCTGTTTTGAAAACACATATATAATACTACATACTAGGTTTTTCTGAAAACCCAAACATACCATAAAAACATTTGTAGATAATAAAACCATATCTAAAAGTGGTACCGAAATTGCCCAAAGGCAAATCCAAGAAAGCTCGTAAACCCAAAATAATAAAGTACTCAACTAGGGGTATCATAGTCACCCGAAGGCATATCCACCACCCGAGGGTGAAACTGTACGACTTTGGGTTACGCTAGAGAAGAAATATAACATAACACACCGACACTAGCCGTGGCTAGTGAAGCTATCCGACACTGGTTTTGTCAGTGAAGCTAGGAGTATGTCATAAATATCCTCGACTATGTCCTATGACCATAGTCATATACATACTCGTGTGTGTATGTGTCGTATAAATACTTGCTAAATAAGCACAGAAAACATAAAACATATCTTTCACATCAAATCATCGAAGCTCAAAAGCTAAAAGCGTCATCTCATAAACCATCATAAATCAATCATGTGAAAACATAAATTCATATTCATGAATCCATCATATTTCGTTAAGCCTAAAAAGCCATGGTTCGTAAATCTTTCGTAAACGTAAATTCAATAAATCGTAAATAAATTATAAATAATGCATAGAACGTAAAATCATGAAATCATGTTTTTCATGAATGTAATCCTAGCATTGAAAATCATGCAATTTAAGAAGGGGTCCACTCACAAATATTCCGCTACCGGGGAGCTGATCGAACTAGGGAGGATGGGGTCACTTCCAACCAACGCACCTAAACACAAATAGGGACCGTTTATTAAAACTCTACTAAAATGATTGAATTTGGAAAAACGGACGGCGGATTTGGATTCGGCATGTCGAAAAACCTAACGAGGGATCTCGGCTTCCACCACGCGCCACCACACCCGCTGAGATAGGGTCGTCGGAAAATTCTCCTGCGCTGCCTTAGCCGCTGTCGTGAAAGGCGGCAGAGCACAATGCCTCTGCGTGGAGGCGTGTGCACTCCACGCTCCACCCTATGACAACCCCACGTGCCGCGAGTACACTTGTACTCGCCTTCTTCAAATTTCTGGAATTTTTCCAGATTTTTCCTCCAACTTCAAAAGCTCATTCCGAGCTTGATACGAGCCCAAATCAAGTGATTCAAAAGCCAAAATGTTGTTAGGTTGTGGAGAAGAGATTCATACCCTTATATCGGAGCTGGTCGAAGAAATGGCTAGAAGGTGGCCAAATGACCATAGTTTCGAAATTCCAGATTTTAAACAGTGACTTCCCTTGTATTTTCCGAGTTTCTACACCACCAAAACCACCCCAAACTTTACTAATCGTGAACCTAAACACAATCTACAATGATAATGACCAATTTCGAGGCTTACCTTCGCCGAAAATGGTGAGAATTCGCCGGAGAAAAGGGTTACACAGTGAAGGGGTCGATGTGCATAGTAAGGAAGAAAGAATCCAATGGTGGTCTCGACTCCGTCTAGGCTTCGTGGTGGTGGTTTATGCGGGAGAAATAAGGTGGTCGTGGTGGTGATTTGTGGTTGTATGAAGAGGAGAGGGTGGAGGGAATAGGGCATAGAAAGGAAGGAAATAAGTGAGAGGGAGAGAGTGAGAGATAAAAAAGAAGTAGGGAACAAAATAAGAAAAAAGAGAGGGAGAGTCTCGGGATACAAAGGAACACCCCAAAAAATGGGGGTAATCCTGCCACGTGTCACCCCATGAATAGCTCATGATGGAGAAATATCTCTAATTATGAAATTACCAAAATGCCCTTGACATTCAAAAATCCGTAGAAACTTAGTTTTAGCTCCGATTTCGATTTCCTTCATGCACACACGTTTGTATCGACAAATACAACGTGAATAAATTAAAAGAAAAATTCATAAGCAGAAGTCAACGAAAGTCAATGCTTCAGTCGTTAGGGGTATTTTCGTAAATTTAACTAATTAAAACGTAAAATTTAAGATGGGTTGTTACACAGAAAATTGATAACTTTCAATTTGCATTTTATTTTGTCAATAAAATGTAAGAGACTTGTTAAATACTTAACATTCATTATATGCTTGTTTCCTATGTTTTCAATATGTTATAATACTTTATAATGTATATATTATTTTATTTTGCAATTGATGTATCACAATACAACCATGTGTTTTCTAAGTATAAATAGACACTTATTTACACAATATATAATAAATTTACTTAAAACCGACTAGCCCACCTAGGTACTAGGCCCCAGCCCGTCTCTCAACTAACACTTAGCGTCTTTTAGAACCTTGAATTTGCGGATATACTATAAAAGACTTGACTATGAATCTGTTATAACCTCAATAGACGCACACATACTACATCACGACGCACATTGTGCATGCATGGTTTGTAGAATTAGGGTTAAACATACTGAATTTATTTATTTCTCTCTCTTCCTAATTATTCCAAATTCTGAGATAGATCTTGATGTTGTATCAAGTACATCAGAAACAACATAAAAATGCCGATCTTGTTTGCTCCATCACCAGTCTCCTAGCTTTCTCCGACAGATTCAACTTCTCCTCTATCTGGACCTTGCTTTTTTTCACCGCAGTGGCAGAGCCAGCATGTGATCATTGGTTGTTCATGACTCCAACAACTTTAAAATCTGATATATATTTGCATGTGTATTTTATTTGACCTTATAAACAGCTAGGGCAAACTAAATACAACCGCATTCTCCTACTTTTTCTTCTTCTATTTTTTTTTATCTTGTCTTCCTTTTCTCTCTTCTTGTGTCCGACTCTGTTGTGCGCACAAAACGCTCGAATGAAATGCCTCAGTTGACAAGCCTTTGCAGTATTCAACATTACTCTACAGTTTCTTGTAGTCATCCTTGACAAGCCTCTACGTATCATAGTAATTGTTGACATATGTTGGCATAAGCCTTAAGCAGATGTTGGCAAGAATTGACATATTTTTACTAGGTGCTCAACGAAATAGTACACTGCAGTTTTTTTTTTATCGAAATCATGACCCCATTATTTAAAAATCTTGGCTACAACATTGGTTGGGGGCCTTTATATCAAAACCTTAAATGGAACTTAGAACCAATAAAGCTTATGTCTTTACGTTTTTACTAGGTGCTCAATGAAATGGTCCAATGTAGTTTTATTTGTTGAAATCATGACCTCATTATTTGAAAATCCTGGCTACGCCAATGCTTCACCATAGAGTTACCAACTGGAATGAGTCCTTTGGATTTTCGTCTGGAAATGCCATTATGCATACAGATGCATTATTCGTAATCAAAATATGCACGGAGTGAAAAAAGGCCTATCCGCACTCTCGTTAGCACATTTAGAGAAACTAGTTTACAAGATATTAACATTAGATCAGATGGGTTAACCTGGGCGCGAGATCATTATTGTCTTTATCTGAAACTATCGGAATTCTTATATCATATGCAGGTAATATGCAAATTGTTCGGCCCGAAAGTTTGCATCCTGCAAAGTGATTATCCCCTTCATGTTAGACACACTAATAAATAAATACAACATTAAAGGGTTCATCTAACAATCATTTTGATTTTCAGTATTTATCTATTTGACATGAAAAATGAAATTAGTTAACAAATAAAAACTAAAAACTGAAAAAAAAAGAAAAAAAAGAATAGCCCAACAAAACAAAAGAAGTTATCAGGTGGGCTGTTAATTAAAACTACTATATTTGAATTTATGAACAAGTTTCTGTTGTTGCGTGCTTACATTAAGAAGGAGTGGTTTGAAAAGCATAAGGCTGCCCAAAAAGTCACTGAAGCATATGATAATTGGTCTTTATCCCTGCAAATAATGAATTGGATATAATTAACAGAAAATTAATCAATAGAAATATAAGAAGAATAGAATGATCAAGCAGTTAATTAGAATATAAGTTCACTATCTATTTCGTTGCTTTGAGAGCGAGGGGCACAAAAAGGACTTCAGATTCTTCGGGAGCACATCGGAAATCGGAAAGGAGCCGCAATCGTGGAATTGCTTTTTGACTAGCCTTTTCTCTTTCAGGCTTTGAGCCACATGAGGCAGATTTTCTGCGCTCCTACTTCCCGTGTCTTTTCGTACCTTCTTATTTTGTACAATCACGGTTAAATCACGTTAATATTTTATATTTTTTTATAAAGATATTAAGACAAACATGAATAATAATATAAAATATTAACGTGACTTAACTATGACCACAAAAATAAAAAGATAAAGAAAGACACGAAAAATGAGAGGACAGAAAATCTACCTCTACATGCGACATGCTCACTCCCTCATTTCCTTAATTTACTTCCCCTTTTATTTTCGTTATTCCCCTTTGGAGTTTGGAT